ACAGCGGCACGCCGACAGCAGGAACGCCGTCTAGAGAGGATTCCCGACAGCGTAGTCCCGCTGTCATGAACTTTTCTGACGACAGCTCCAAAGTTGTCGGCCGACAACTCAGCGGGAGTCCCCGACAACTTAAAGTGCGTATAGAGCGACAGCGGGAGGTCAGGGTTCAGTTTGTCACAGAGCATCTAAAATGTTCCCCTCGACATCCTGAAGCGCCTGTAAAACTCTGTATCGCACAGTGTGCCTTGAACAAATTTTTGCCAAAAGGTCGCGGGTTTCTTAACGTATCGCCAGATCCTCCGGTGGACAGGATCACCACCTTTTGCCAAAGCAATGGCAGCGGGGAGGTAAGCAGGGCGCGACGTGTCAGCAACATCTCCCGGTATCTCAACCGTCTCCTGCGTGCACCCCTTGCTCGTCGCCTCATATTGGACAAGACGCGAGTGACTAACATAAAGAAAAACATCTGACACACGGCGAGGAAAAACATTGGCGGCTCCCCCGCCATTTTGGATTTCACGCGTTAGAACATTCGGATGTTCGATGTTCGATGCAAAGAGATTTGTGTGTATAAAGACGTCGCGACAGCGGCGTCCCGACAGCGGGAAATATCGCCGCTGTCGCGAAATGCTTCGTCTAAACTGGGCCTTAGAGGGGGGTGTAGCTCTCAGCTTCAGCCTGATCTTACACACTACCATGTGGTGGTCACTACCACATCTGCTCCTCGGTAGACTCTTACATCCAGAAGAGATCTCTGCCATTTCTTATTTATCATTAGGCCACACCGATTTAATTTTATGGATGACATCCGCGCGCGCATTGATTTTCGCCCGATCTCAAAAAAAAAAAAAAAGAATCACGTATTCCGAGGCTCTGGCCTGGCTTTAGGCCTGGGTAGTGCATGGTGGTGATAACTCTGGTTGACGGCAGCCAGGCTACCGAAGCTCCAAGACTCAAGAACTCATCAGTACATACGTACAGCAGTGTCGATTCATATATTCCGCAAAAATCCAGCATGTGTCGGCCTGTCGTATACGTCGCTATGTAATTCGCCAAATTCACAATACCCTGAGGTTTGTATTCCTGTGGTTTTGTTGCATTTTTATTTTTGGCCGGATTTTTATTTTTTTCGCCCGCGCGCAGTAGTTTGGGGGTCTTCAGAGGATGTCATCCATAAAATTAAATCGGTGTGGCCTTATGTGATCAATTTGGTTGATAGTGTTTCCATCTGGTGAAATCCAGGTCAGCTTATGGATGTTTTTGTGTGGAAAGATTGTTCCACCTACTACCAGTCTATTACTTAGGCAGAAGTCCACAAGTCTCTCGCCATTGTCGTTGATGTTACCGCATCCATGCCTTCCCATGGCACTTTCTCTTCCTACATTGTCACTACCCACTTTGGCATTTAGGTCTCCTATTACCAGGGTCATGTCGTGTTGAGGGGTTTTACTGACTGCCCTTTGAAGTTGTTCATACCAATCATCTTTTATGTCATCGTCTGCTTCATTGGTTGGGGCATAGCATTGTATGACAGTTAGCTTGCAGAATCTAGAGTCAAATCTAGCTCTCATCAGCCTGTCACTGATGGGTTCCCACTCGAGAAGTGATTTTGTTGCTTGTTTGTTCAGGATAAGGGCTACACCGCTGGCGTGTTGCTCTTCTTTTCCAGAAAAGAGAATGGTTAGGCCATCTGAAGTTGTTTTGCGCCCTGAACCAGTCCATCTGCATTCACTTATTCCAAGAATATCTATGCTGTAGTGCAGCATTTCTTTACTAACTTGTGCTGTCTTCGAGATTTCATACATAGTGCGAACATTCCATGTTCCAATCTTGATAGTACTTTTGGGGCCGAGGAGACTCCGATTCAGGCTCCTGACTTCCTGGGGCAGGCTTTCATCAGGAGCTGTCATGGTGCCTGCTGCTGCAGTGCTGGAGCTTCCGGTCAGGCCCTGGGGTCTCGTGGGCAGAAAAGTCATAGTTTCAGTAACAAGGTTTGTTTTGCAGTGTGAGGTTGTTAGCCTCACGACCAACCCCCAACCTGGAGGGCCAGGTGCTGTTTTTTGTCTGGCCTCTCGCCTGCAACCTGCCCGGCATGGTTGGACCTGCCGGGGGTCAAGGTCTGGGACCTGTAAGGACCCAAGAACCTTCCCCCGCCGGTATAGCTCACAGGTTCCTTGAAGCACTCAAGCCTCCCCACCGCGACAAGGTAGCAGCACAGGGGGAAGAAATAACCAGTGGGTAAAAGGATGTGTACATAAGAACTAAAGGCCTTTGCCTTTGGGGCAAGTGCATGGGGCTCTCCTCTCCCGTACATGTGCAGTTTACTCAACAGACGTTGACAGTATAATACATCAGATGTAAATCTGTACTTTTTCATTTGATCAACTAAATATTTACTACATTGTAAGTCCCTTAGATGTTCTGCACCAGCTTCAACCATTGCAAGCTATAGTGCTAGAATGCCAAAAGACACTCATTTTTCTCCGATGAAGGGAAAGCCTACACTTAGAAACACTCCACTTAAAATGATAGAATCCACCTATTATAGAAGGACTGGAGTCCTTATTATCTTCCTCTTCATTTTATTATCTTAGAAATGAAGTAAAACCGAACAAGCATAGATTTAGAATATCAGCAAATTGTCTTCAGAAGTTTCAGACTAGGAAAGGACTTAGACAAGAGAAACCTGTTTTGCATAAAAGTGCAGCTAACATGTTTCCTAGCTTTCAGTTCTGTCCAGGAAGGTTGAAGCAGGGCTTGCAGTGTCCTTGGGGGTATGTGGTGGTGTCCTTGGGGAGTCTACTTAATGGGAATGTATCAACATTTCTTTTAATGCCGAAACATTAAACATGTATAACATCATATCAACACTGTTCAATACCCATAATTAGTCTGCCTCGATCGAGTCATACAGAGCTGGTTCAGACCAGCACGTTGGCAAAATGTACAGCGCCTGCGCGAAACCATTTCATTTTTGTTGACCGTTGCAGATAATATCTTTTCCAACACAACATTTGTTTCAGTTTCAGTTTATTCGCACTTTAAAACAAATTGTAACAATACAGATACAAAAAAAATATAAATGAAATGTAACAGTGCAGGGAGGCCGGAAGCATAAAATTTCTTATGAGGAGGTCTCCCTTCATAACGTTATTAACAATTCCTATAAATCGGATAAATAAGAAATAACTTAGGTAACGGGTAAATGAAACAAAACAATAAAATACAATACGATACAATACTATCTACAATAATGAAAAGTAGTAAATAAGGAAACATAAACAAAAATTAGGAATGTGTGGGGTTATTTATGAAAGCTACTTTGGTATGATTTTTGAAAATGGTGACGGAGGGACTAATTTGTAAAGTTCTGCTTAGGTTGTTCCAAACTGTTGGGCCTCTGTACGTGATTGTAAATTTACGAAGATTCGATTTCGCATTGGATGGCCTTAAATAATTGCGTTGGCGTGTGAAGTGGTTGTGGATGTCTGAGTTTAATAAGAAGGTGTAGGTGTCGTGGAAGGTTTCAGGAAGGCAAGGACATTTATTCATCACCTTGTACATTAAAAGACTTGTTTGTAGTTTATTTATGTCATTTATGGACAGTATTTTGAGCTTTTTAAACAATGGTGCAGTAGGGAAAGTGAATGAAACTTTTGACGCTATCCTGATGTATCGTTTCTGAAGCAAAAAAGCGGTTTAAGTGATGTAGTGTACGTACTTGCCCATATAATATTACAATAACTTAAGTAAGGATAGATGAGACTATAATAGAGAGTAATAAATGTTTTAGGAGATAAAAGATTTCCTACTTTCCGTATAAAACCAATGTTCTTGGATATTTTTTTACTAATAAGATCGATGTGATTTTTCGACTCGACTCGAATCAATTCGACTCGATCCGGACAATTAAATACTAGTGGGAAAGAGGCCTAAGTAAATAATACTCTCCAAGCAGAGATTTGGGTTTTAAAAACACGACAAAAATAACCCCAACCTCTGCTTGGAGAGTAAGTAAATAAGAAAATGATATCCTAGTGGGAAAGGGGCATAAGTAAATAAGGACATAAGATGTGTTACTGCGCTCCACTTTATTCCGTTCCGTACAAGGTAAGACCTCCGCATGTTACTAGAGTAACCACCAAGGACGCCGAGACGTTAGAAATTAATTGCAAAAAGCTAAAGTTTCTTTAACAACATCCAAATGTTATCTAGAACTCCGATCCCTTACATAAACTGTGCCTGGTTTGTGTTGTAATTACTACGAGTTTAGGTTTGAGGTCTATATAGGCAAATCTCACATCCTTGTCTCATGGTTTTGTTTACATGAACAAATCATTCGCTTCAGTGAATGAAGTTCGGCCTCAGGTGATGCAGGTAAACCGGACCGACCACGTCGTCACCTCACCTGTGGGCAGCCACGTCATCCAGTTGAGGCTTTGTCTGACGAGGTCTTGTCGGACATTTCTCGAGAATTTTCTGCGAGGTTTCTCGAAGATGTCGTCCAAGAAGCCGTTCCCAAACGGCGAGGCAGCTCCAGAGGGTTCTGTAGGTCGCCATGGAAACCAGCGGACCTTAGGAATCGTCCTGGCGCTGTCAGGACTCGCGTCTGTGGTGAGTGTCGTCACCCTGCTGTTCGTGGTGCGAGAGCTTACGTTCCTACGGGCGCAACAAGGAGCCTTACAAGATCACCAAGGAAGAGACCATGACCAGCTGGTGGTACTGCGCAGCCAGCTTCAGGACCTGATGCAATGGAAGCATGAGCTGGGAGTTAAGGTAAGTAATGGACGTTTTTTTTTTCTCAGAGAAAAACAGGATTCTCATGTGGTCGCCGCCTTTGTCGTCTCTATAAAAACAGTTACTTAACTCTCGAGCGGGAGATACTGAAACGTGTGGGTACTGAAACTAGAACCCTGGACCCATGACTAGAACCCGGGACCCGAGACTAGAACCAGGGACCCCAGATTAGAATCATGGATCCGAGACTAGAACCAGGGACCCGAGACTAGAACCCGGGACCCTTTGTAACGTTTTCCGATCTTACGCAGATGTAGCAATATTCCGATTTTTTTCATTTTATTTTTTTGCCATGAGATTAAAACGTAAACAAATTTCCAAGGTTATGCTACAGTTTATGAGTACCATCCATGCAAGTATGTAAACTTCAAAATTGCAATAAGCAGGTTTGTTGTGCTCTGAATTAGAGACAGGAAAAATGTTCATCACCAGTAAAGTAGGTAAAGCATGTGAACGCGATGCGCTATTTAGTGCTTTTGTGTGAGATTTAACGGTATAGTCTATGCCAAACCTTGTGGCTGTAGTTGTTTACTGTAACGGAAAGATAATTGCGGCCTTGTTAACAGACCAGTGAGCAACTCACCCCCGAGGGCCCAACTAGCTCAACTGAAGACTGGCGACGTGCTGACAGCGCCACCTTTTGGAAAAGTGCGGAGGTGCACCACAGATCCAAGAGGGAGGCGATGGCCAACACTGTTCTCTTCCATGGCAAACTTGGAGGTGAACAAAGTTTGCGTACCGGCTCCTGTTTATGTCTGTGTGTGTGTGTGTGTATGTCTGTGTATGTCTGTGTGTGTGTTTTTCTGTGTGTGTGTGTGTAACTAAATGTTCGAAGAGGCTTTATAGTAAATGGATGAATGTTTATCAAACCAGCAGGTCTCGGATGTTCGTCCGGAGCCCCCGGGAGGGATGGAAGAGACGGTATGCAGGGTCCTGCCGGCCCGCCCGGACCCCCTGGACAGGTAAACGGGCAATGTTAAGAAACAAACACTTGTTCCGTACA